CGCTGGAATTGGCGACATCATTAAGGTCAGCATTAAAGATGCTGCGCCGCGTGGTCGTGTAAAAAAAGGCGAAGTTTACAGTGCGGTGGTTGTTCGTACGGCTAAAGGGGTTCGTCGTCCAGATGGCTCTTTGGTTAAGTTCGATAGCAATGCTGCGGTACTATTGAATAACAAGCTAGAACCGATTGGTACCCGTATATTTGGCCCAGTAACACGTGAATTACGTACTGAAAAATTCATGAAAATCGTTTCATTAGCACCAGAAGTTCTGTAGGAGTTCGCATGAATAAAATTCGCAAGGGTGATCAAGTCATCCTAAATACAGGTAAGGATAAAGGCAAGCAAGGTGCTGTAATTGGTATTCTTGATTCTGGTCATGTGCTAGTAGAGGGTCTTAACTTGGTTAAGAGGCATGCAAAGCCAAATCCGATGAAAGGTGTCGCAGGTGGCATCGTGGCAAAAGAGATGCCAATTGACATTTCTAACGTTGCTTTATTTAACGGCGCGACACAAAAAGGTGATCGCGTAGGCTTCAAAACATTGGATGATGGTCGCAAAATTCGCGTATTCAAGTCTAATGGTGAAGCAGTGGACGCATAGGAAGAATTATGGCGCGCTTAAAAGATTTTTATAAAGACTCTGTTGTTAAGTCTATGACTGAGCAATTTGGTTACACTTCGGTAATGCAAGTGCCTCGCATAGATAAGATTACTCTAAATATGGGAGTTGGTGAGGCGGTTGCAGATAAAAAGGTGATGGAACACGCTGTTGGCGATATGGAAAAAATTGCTGGTCAAAAAGCAATTGTAACTAAAGCTAAAAAATCAGTGGCAGCATTTAAGATTCGTGATGACTATCCTGTAGGTTGTAAAGTAACTTTACGCCGCGAACGCATGTATGAGTTCTTGGATCGTTTGGTGACGGTGGCTATTCCACGTATTCGTGACTTTCGCGGTATTTCTGCGAAATCATTTGATGGTCGTGGTAACTACAACATGGGTATTAAAGAACAAATTATTTTCCCCGAAATTGAATACGATAAAATCGATGCAATTCGCGGAATGAATATCACTATTACAACTACTGCGAAAACGGATGAAGAGGCAAAAGCTTTGCTTGCTGCGTTTAGTTTTCCTTTCAGAGGTTAAGTTATGGCTAAAACCTGTATGACAGAGCGCGAAATCAAACGTCGCGCAACTGTAGAAAAATTTGCGGCAAAACGGGCTGCATTGCAAGCAGCTATGAATGATATGGGCGCGACGGCTGAAAGCCGTTATGAAGCGCGCATGAAGTTTCAGGCGTTGCCACGCAACTCAAGCCCTGTGCGTTTACGTAACCGTTGTGCTTTAACTGGCCGTCCGCGTGGCGTATTTAGTAAATTTGGTATTGGGCGTAGTAAATTACGAGACTTGATGATGAGTGGCCAAGTGCCAGGTATCACCAAGGCTAGCTGGTAATAGGGGATATTTATGAGTATGAGTGATCCAATTGCCGATATGTTGACGCGCATTCGTAATGCGCAAATAGTCAACAAAGCGGTTGTGGCTATGCCATCTTCAAATGTTAAGACTGCTATCGCTAGCGTGCTTAAAGAAGAAGGTTATGTGGAAGATTTTGCAGTGCAAACAGAAGGTGGCAAAGCTACTTTAACTATTAGTTTGAAATACTATGCGGGTCGCCCAGTAATTGAGCGCATTCAGCGTATAAGCAAGCCAGGTTTGCGCGTGTATAAAGGTTCTCAAGAGATTCCTAAAGTAATGAATGGTCTTGGTGTGACGATTATGTCAACATCTAAGGGGGTAATGACAGATCGTAAAGCTCAGGCTGCCGGTATCGGCGGTGAAGTGCTGTGCGTAGTGGCTTAAGGAGAAGCAAATGTCACGTGTTGCTAAAAACCCAGTCGCTATCCCTTCAAAGGTTGAAGTGGTATTAAGTGCTAATTCAATCAATGTAAGCGGTCCACTAGGTAAATTGTCTCATCCGCTAACCGATGCGGTTGTGCTTAAACGCGAGGGCGAAACAATTACGTTTCAAGCTGCTAGCGATGCACAACATTCACGCGCAATGTCAGGTACATTGCGTGCGTTAGTGGAAAATATGGTTAAAGGTGTGTCGGTAGGCTTTACGCGTAAATTAACACTCGTTGGTGTTGGTTACAAAGCTGCTGCACAAGGTGCTGTATTGAACTTGGAATTAGGTTATTCACATCCAATCAACCACAAAATGCCAGCTGGCGTAACTGTGACAACTGCTACACCAACAGAAATTCTGTTAACTGGTGTTGATAAGCAGGTGATTGGCCAGGTTGCTGCACAGATTCGTGCTTACCGCGCTCCGGAGCCATATAAAGGTAAAGGTGTTCGTTACGCTGATGAAGTTGTTGCAATTAAAGAAACCAAAAAGAAATAAGGCTTAAAAAATGAACAAAGTAAATAATCGCTTGCGTCGTGCACGTAAAACCCGTGCCAAAATTGCAGAGCTAAAAGTTACACGTCTAAGTGTGCATCGTACAAATACACACATATACGCACAAATTATTGCTGAAACTGGCGATAAAGTCATTGTTAGTGCTTCAACGGTAGAGGCTGACGTTCGTAAAAAAATTAAAAACGGTGGCAATGTAGAAGCTGCAGCCGCAATTGGTAAACTTATTGCTGAAAAAGCGAAAAAAGCAGGTGTTACTACCGTGGCTTTCGATCGTTCAGGTTACAAATATCATGGTCGTATTAAAGCGTTGGCTGATGCCGCACGTGAAAACGGCTTGTCTTTCTAATTGGTCTGATTGCTTAAGAGGTTAATGATGGCGAGAGAAATGGAACAGCAACAGCAGCAGACTGATGGTTTGCGCGAAAAGATGATTGCAGTTAATCGTGTAAGTAAAACGGTTAAAGGTGGTCGAATTATGAGTTTTGCAGCGCTTACAGTAGTGGGCGATGGCGACGGTGCTGTTGGCATGGGTAAAGGTAAAGCCCGCGAAGTGCCTGTTGCAGTGCAAAAAGCAATGGATGAAGCACGTCGTGGTATGTTAAAAATTAATTTAACAAACGGTACATTGCACCATGCAGTGACTGGCGTACACGGTGCAGCTAAAGTGTTTATTCAGCCAGCATCTGAAGGTACAGGTATTATCGCTGGTGGTGCAATGCGTGCGATTTTTGAGGTGATGGGTGTGACTAACGTGGTCGCCAAATGTATTGGCTCAACCAATCCTTACAACTTAGTACGCGCAACCTTGAACGGTTTAGAGTCAATGAATACGCCAGCTGAAATTGCTGCTAAACGTGGTAAATCAGTAGAAGAGATTAGAGGTTAATCATGGCTAAAGTTAAAGTACAAGCAACACCGATTAAAGTGACGCTAGTTAGAAGTACGATTGGTCGTATTGAGTCGCACAAAGCCACAGTTAAAGGTTTGGGTTTGCGCCGCATGCACCATACAGTTGAATTGCAAGATACACCAGCAATTCGTGGCATGATTAACACGGTGAGCTATCTCTTAAAGGTAGAAGAATAATGCAATTAAATACAATTAAGCCTGCAGAAGGCGCAAAGAAAGAACGTCGCCGCGTTGGCCGTGGTATTGGTTCAGGTTTTGGTAAAACAGCTGGTCGTGGCCATAAAGGTCAAAAATCACGTACTGGTGGTTTTCATAAAGTAGGTTTTGAAGGCGGTCAAATGCCTATTCAACGCCGTTTGCCTAAACGTGGATTTAAATCAATGACTAAGGCTGACACTGCGCATGTGCGCACAAGTGAGTTGGCATTAGTGCCAAATGAAGTCATCGACTTGTTAGCTTTAAAAGCTGCAAACATTGTTTCTGGTACTGTCACAAATGCCAAAGTTTTTCTATCAGGCGATGTAACAAAAAAAATCAGCGTGCAGGGTTTGTTGTTGACAAAAGGCGCACGTGCTGCAATTGAGGCGGCTGGTGGTAAGATTTTAGAAGTGGCATAAGAGAAAAATCTTGGCTCAAGAAGGTTTATTAAAGACGGTATCAAAAATGGGTGAGCTGAAGAGCCGCCTATATTTTGTGCTAGGTGCGTTAGTAGTATATAGATTGGGCGCACACATACCAGTACCTGGAATTGACCCAGTTGCACTTGCCAGCTTATTTGCTCAGCAAAAAGATGGTATTTTAGGTATGTTCAATATGTTCTCAGGCGGTGCGCTTGAGCGCTTTACTGTGTTTGCATTAGGAATTATGCCTTATATTTCTGCATCAATTATTATGCAATTGATGTCAGCGGTTTCACCTAAGCTGGAACAGTTGAAAAAAGAAGGTGAGGCGGGACGTCGCACTATTACAAAATACACTCGCTATGGTACGGTGGTGTTAGCAACATTTCAGGCATTGGGTATAGCAGTCATGCTTGAAGGGCAGCCAAATTTAGTGATTGACCCAGGCTTTGTTTTTAGATTTACGGCGGTCATCACGTTGGTGAGCGGCACAATGTTTTTAATGTGGTTGGGTGAGCAAATTACTGAGCGGGGTATTGGTAATGGTATTTCTATCATCATTTTCGCAGGGATTGTTGCTGGGCTACCGAATGCGTTAGGTTTAACTGCAGAAATGGTAAATAGCAATACGTTAAGTATTCCGCTAGCTTTTTTCTTGTTATTGGCAGTAATTCTTGTGACTGCGCTAGTTGTTTTCGTAGAAAGAGGGCAGCGCAAAATTACGGTTAATTATGCAAAAAGACAAGTTGGAAATAAGGTATATGGTGGCCAAACTACGCACCTGCCACTGAAGTTAAACATGGCGGGCGTGATTCCACCAATTTTTGCTTCTAGTATAATTTTATTTCCTGCGACGTTGGCGGGCTGGTTTGGTAGTAAAGATAGCATGTCGTGGTTGGTAACGGTAAAAGATAAATTGTCACCTGGCGAACCTATCTACATATTTATGTTTGCTGCTGCTATCGTGTTTTTCTGTTTCTTTTATACAGCATTACAGTTTAACCCTAAAGAAACAGCTGATAATTTGAAAAAAAGTGGTGCTTTTATTCCTGGCATTAGACCTGGTGAGCAAACGGCAAAATATATTGATGGCATTATGGGACGCTTGACATTGGTAGGTGCGGCCTACATCACGTTAGTTTGCTTATTGCCAGAATTTTTAATTTTAAAATTAAATACGCCATTTTATTTTGGCGGTACTTCACTGTTAATTATTGTTGTAGTTACAATGGACTTTATGGCACAAGTGCAATCGCATTTAATGTCTAGTCAATATGAGGGTTTGCTGAAAAAAGCAAACTTTAAAGGCAATCAGAAATAGTCGAAAGATTAAATCTAATTTTAAGTAACGGTAAGTTAGAAGTAATGGAGTCGTAAATGAGAGTTCGTGCATCAGTAAAAGCATTGTGCCGTAATTGTAAGGTTGTGCGTCGTCGTGGCGTTGTGCGTATTATCTGCACAGACCCACGTCATAAGCAACGTCAAGGTTAATGTATAACAATGTAAATTAGGGTCTGTACTACCCTAATTAGGATGGTCATGTAAGTGATGATCAGAAGATAAGTTAATTGATATAAGTAAGTTTTACTGTTAAAATGCTCGACTTTTTTAAAGTAGTATATTTAGTAAAGCTTCACTCGGGAGTAATTGTATGGCGCGTATCGCTGGGGTAAATATCCCAAATAATAAACATGCTGAGATAGCACTGACTGCGATTTATGGCATTGGCCGTAACACTGCGCAGAAAATTTGTGCTGCCGCTGGCGTATTACCATCTGTAAAAATGAAAGATCTCAATGATGCAGATGTAGACAAATTGCGTGATGAAGTGGCAAAAGAAAAAGTAGAGGGTGATTTACGCCGTGAAGTTTCTATGAATATCAAACGCTTGATGGACTTGGGTTGCTATCGTGGCGTGCGTCATCGCCGTGGTTTGCCAGTACGTGGTCAACGCACAAAAACAAATGCTCGTACTCGTAAGGGTCCAGTAAAAGCAATTAAGCAAACTAAATAACCTGCTTCAATCTACAGGTTTCTGAATTTAAGCACGAACTATTGGTAAGGAAAATGCAACATGGCAAAAGCTAATGTACGCGTAAGAAAGAAAGTTAAAAAGAACATTGCAGAAGGGATTGCTCACGTGCATGCGTCTTTTAACAACACAATTATCACGATTACTGACCGTCAAGGCAATGCTTTGTCATGGGCAACTTCAGGTGGGCAGGGTTTTAAAGGTTCACGTAAAAGTACACCTTTTGCAGCGCAGGTTGCTGCTGAAGTTGCTGGTAAATCAGCACAAGAAAATGGTGTAAAGAATTTAGAAGTGCGTATCAAAGGCCCAGGTCCTGGTCGTGAGTCAGCCGTTCGCGCCTTAAACGCAGCTGGTTTTAAAATTACCAGCATTACCGATGTGACACCTGTGCCACATAACGGTTGCCGCCCACCGAAGAAACGCAGAATTTAGTTTCCGCACAACTAAGCAAATAAAGATTACTGGAGAACTATCTTGGCTAGAAATTTAGATCCTAAATGCCGTCAGTGCCGCCGCGAGGGCGAAAAGCTGTTTTTAAAGGCTGAAAAATGCTTTACTGACAAGTGTGCGATTGAGAAACGTAACTTTCCTCCTGGTCAACACGGTCAGCGTCGTAACCAGCGCTTGTCTGATTATGGCGTGCAATTACGTGAAAAACAAAAAGTGCGTCGTATTTACGGTGTGTTAGAAGCACAGTTCCGTAGTTATTACGCAGAAGCAGATCGTCAAAAAGGCATTACTGGCGAGAATTTACTTCAGCTTTTAGAGTGCCGTTTAGATAACGTTGCATATCGTATGGGTCTTGGTGGGTCGCGCACTGAAGCGCGCCAAATTGTGCGTCACAATAGCATTTTGGTAAATGGCAAACGTGTCAACATTCCTTCATACCAAGTGAAAGCGGGCGATGTGGTTAGTGTAGCAGAAGCATCAAAAGAACAATTGCGTATTAAGGGTGCGTTAGACGCAGCTGCGCAACGTGGTTTTCCAGAGTGGATTGAAATGGATGTTAAGGCACTTAAAGGCACATTTAAGGCTAAACCACAGCGTGATGAATTACCACCAACTATCAATGAATCATTGGTTGTTGAGCTGTACTCAAAATAATTAAAACGAATTAAATTGTAAATGAAGCGAGTGTAAACTCGCTGGAAACAAAGCGCTACTGGTCTTGAGTTTTACTTTAGACTTGTAGCGTTTGTTTCTAAAATTATAAAAAGGTATCACTATGCAAAACAGTCCTACCGAATACTTAAAACCACGTGTTGTTGATGTTGAAGTGCTCTCACCATTACGTGCGAGGGTTACTTTAGAGCCAATGGAGCGTGGCTTTGGCTATACACTTGGTAATGCATTACGTCGCGTATTGTTGTCCTCTATTCCTGGCTACGCTGTTGTAGAAGTTAAAATAGATGGTGTTGTGCACGAATATTCAACCATTGATGGTGTGCAAGAAGATGTAGTCGATATTTTGCTTAACCTTAAAGGGGTTGCTTTAAAATTAAACACGAAATCTGAAACGATATTGGTGTTGAATAAATCAACTGAAGGTGTTGTTACCGCGGGTGATTTTGAAGTTGGTCACGATGCTGAGATTGTAAACCCAGACCATGTGATTGCCCATTTAACTAAGGGTGGTAAATTAAACCTTGAAGTTAAAGTAGCAATGGGTCGCGGTTATCAACCTGTGCCAGCACGACAAAAAGCCAATGATGAAGATCGCGTATTGGGCTTTATCATGGTGGATGCTTCATTTAGTCCAATCAATAAGGTGAGTTATCAAGTTGAAAGTGCACGTGTTGAGCAACGCACAGACTTAGATAAATTGATTATGGATGTGGAAACAAACGGTATTATTGAGCCTGAGCAAGCGATTCGTGATGCGGCGCGCATTTTGATGGGTCAATTATCAGTATTTGCTGATTTAGAAGGTGCACCTAGCGAAGTAGAAGTAAAAGCAACGCCACAAGTTGATCCAGTGTTATTGCGTCCAGTAGATGATTTGGAGTTAACTGTACGTTCTGCTAATTGCTTGAAAGCGGAAAATATATTCTACATTGGTGATTTGATTCAACGTTCTGAAAATGAATTATTAAAAGCTCCTAACTTGGGTCGCAAGTCATTGAATGAAATTAAAGATGTGTTAGCTTCTCGTGGGTTAACTTTAGGCATGAAATTAGAAAACTGGCCACCAGCAGGGCTTGAAAAAGCTTAAGCTAGCCAGTTAAATAAAGAAATTTTAAGGAAATATTATGCGTCACGGTAATAGTAATCGTAAATTAAATCGCACTAGTAGCCATCGCGCGGCCATGTTCCGCAACATGACAGCTTCATTATTGCGTCATGAAGTGATTAAAACGACTTTGCCTAAAGCAAAAGAGCTGCGCAAATTTGCTGAGCCATTAATCACATTAAGTAAAACATCAACACTAGCAAATCGTCGCTTAGCGTTTAGTCGTTTGCGTGATGAGGAAATCGTTGGTAAATTATTTACTGAGTTGGGTCCACGTTATTTAGCGCGCAATGGCGGTTATTTACGTGTATTGAAATGTGGTTTCCGCAATGGCGACAATGCACCGATGGCTTTGGTAGAGTTGGTTGACCGCCCTGAAACCAACGTTGAAGTAGTTACAGCTGAATAAGTTTTGTTAGATTTAAAAAGCCAGCTTTTGCTGGCTTTTTTTGTTTTAAAGTCGGCAAATTTATTTCGCTAAAAAATCTAAAATATCCTGCACAGAAAAAGGCCAACATAATTCAGCATGTGTATCGAGTCTTTTGAGTACAGGAATTTTAATTTCATACAGTAACAACAATTTTTCATCGTTAATAATTTCTATTGTTTGCCAAGAAAATTGCGCTGTTGCCGCCAACTGATGTAATAAGTCTTCAGCCTGTTCACATAAATGGCAGTGAGAAGTTGAATAGAGGTGAAGTTGTAAAATTTCAGAGCGATTTGTCATTGATGAATTTTAACTTAACCAATAAATTCATGTGTAATTTTAGGAATTTTAGCCACTAGAAAATTTAATGCCTCCGTAAGCCGCATATAGACTGGCTTGCAGAGGTGCTGAAATGATTTGTGATTAAATTAGGCTGTTTTTAGCTGTACTGTCTAGGCTAGGTTATAATGCAAACAGTTGAATTTTCAAATCAAATTTGTAAGCCTGAGCCACGTAAAAGATGAGTTTTTATGGCAGATATTCAAGAACCTAAAGAAAGTTTAAGCGAAAACCTGCAACAGGTGATTTCGCTACTAGACAAGCAAAAGCTGGTTGAAGATCTTGTGCATAAACAAGAGATGCCACACCATGACTTAGTGGAGTCGCTCGTCCATAAACAAAATTTGGTGAAATTACAGTCAAAGCTGGATTCCCTACACCCTGCGGATGTGGCTGATATTTTAGAGGCCTTGCCACTCGACCAGCGCTTGGATGTTTGGGAACTGGTCAAGGTTGAGCGTGATGGCGATATCTTGCTGGAAGTTTCAGATGCTGTTCGCCAAACGCTCATTGCGGACATGAACTCGGATGAGTTGCTGGCTGCTGCCGAGCAACTGGACACCGATGAGTTAGCAGACTTAGCGCCAGACTTACCTAAAGATGTGTTGCAAGATTTGCTGGATAACTTAGATGCGCAAAATCGTGCGCGTTTGCAATCAGCACTATCGTATTCTGAAGATGCTGTTGGCGCGATTATGGACTTTGATATTGTCACGATACGTGAAGATATTACACTTGAAGTCGCCTTGCGTTACATGCGCCGCCTTGGTAGTTTGCCAGACCACACGGATAAGCTTTTTGTGGTAGATAGAAATGAAATTTTACGTGGCGTTCTACCGTTAAAGTTGTTAGTTGTGAGCGATTTAGATGCCATTGTATCTGACATCATGTCTGACGATGCGGTGACTTTTCACCCTGAAGACATTGCGGATGAAGCCGCCAAAGCGTTTGAGCGCTATGACTTAGTCACAGCACCCGTAGTGGATGTCAATAATAAACTGGTTGGGCGTGTGACTGTGGATGCGGTGATGGATTTGATTAGGGAGGAAGCTGAAAGTGATATGCTTTCAATGGCCGGCTTGCGTGAAGAAGAAGACTTTTTCGCGTCCGTTTGGAAGTCTGTACAAAACCGTTGGGCTTGGCTGGCCATTAACCTAGTGACAGCTTTAGTGGCTTCGCGCGTGATTGGCCTATTTGAAGGCTCTATTGAGAAAATTGTTGCACTTGCAGCCTTGATGCCCATTGTGGCTGGCATTGGTGGCAACTCTGGTAACCAAACCACCACGATGATAGTGCGAGGGCTCGCTTTAGGCCAAGTGGCTTCGCACAATATGCAATCACTCATTACCAAAGAGCTAGGTGTGGCCTTGCTCAATGGCCTTCTCTGGGGTGGTGTTTTGGGCGTGATTGCGTATGCTTTATATGGCAATTATCAACTGGGTATTGTCATGATGGCCGCCATGACCTTAAACTTAATGCTGGCTGCGCTCATGGGCGTGGTGATACCGTTATATATGAATCATTTTGGGCGTGACCCAGCGGTTGGCTCTAGTGTGCTCATTACAGCGGTCACAGACAGCGGCGGTTTTTTAATTTTCTTAGGTTTAGCAACGCTATTTTTGCTTTAAGAGATGAACCCAACAACACAACAAATTTGGCAAGAAGTCTGGGTTGATATTCTCACCCCAGCAGGTTTTTGGCAAATAGGCATGATAGTTTTGGCCTGCACTATAGCATGGGCACTTAACGGCGCGCTACGTAGTTATGTGCGCAAACACGCTGAAAATATTGTGGGTACGCAACAAGCGGCAGATGCAGCAATACATGCCATTAACCGTGTGCTATTTCCGCTCACCGCTTTGGCAGTTGTAAGCGCTGCCAAAGCGATTTTAGCACACACGCAACATACGAGTTTATTACAACTTGCAAGCCTCTTGCTGTTGGCGATGGCTGCCATTCGTTTAGCGGTTTATGTGTTGCGCTATGTGTTCTCGCCTAGCGGTTGGGTTAAAGCAACTGAAAATAGCATTGCCGCGTTCATTTGGATTATCTTGGCGCTACATTTAAGTGGCTTGCTACCAGCACTTTCTGAAGCATTAGAAAACATCAGCTTTACCATCGGCAAAAATAAAGTCACTTTACTATTAATCATTCAAGCGGTACTCACCATCATCATTACTGTGATTGTGGCTTTATGGTTGAGCCGCTTGATTGAAAACCGTTTGATGCAAAATTCGCATCTTAACCCCAATATGCGTGTGGTACTAGGCAAGGTGTTGCGTATCGTTCTAACCGTATTGGCCGTGCTATTTGCTTTCTCAGCCATAGGCCTAGACATCACCTTACTCTCGGTATTTGGTGGTGCGCTAGGCGTAGGCTTGGGTTTTGGGTTGCAAAAAATCGCCAGCAATTTTATTAGCGGCTTTATTTTGCTACTTGATGACTCCATGCACATGGGCGATGTGATTACCGTTGAAGGCCATTACGGCGTGGTGAGAGATTTACGCGCACGTTACTTGGTGCTCAAAAAATTAGACGGTACGGAAGTGGTGATTCCCAACGAAACCATGATTGCACACCCAGTAATCAATCATTCGCTAACTGACCACAAAGCGCGCGTGCAAATGCCATTACAAATTAGTTACGACAGTGATTTAGAGCTTGCTTTAAGCTTAATGCAAAACGCTGCAAAATCACATAGTCGCGTATTGATTGACCCAAGCCCACAAGCTTTATTGAAAGGGTTTGGCGAAAAAGGCATCGATTTAATACTTACATTTTGGATTCCAGACCCAGAAGAAGGCTCGGCGGCATTGCAATCGGAAATATATTTAGAAGTTTGGCGCGCATTCAAGAAAAACAGCATTGATATTCCGCATCCTGAACGCGAAAGGCGAGCTTGAGCAATGGCGGTTATCACCATAAAAACGCTAGGCAACCATACTTTTCAAGTGACCGTTGCGGCTAAAACCAGCACAGAACACAGCGTGATCGTGCGCCCAGAATACGCACAACAACTTACCCTTGGTAAAGCAAGTGATGAAATTTTGCTAAAAAAATCGTTTGAATTTTTGCTTGCGCGAGAGCCTAATACCAGCATTTTACGCAGCTTTGATTTAAGTGTGATTGCGCGATATTTTCCAGAGTATGAACGTACCATTTCACAACATTATTAAGGTTTGAAAAAGTACATCATCCTAACACCACCCCTGAAAGCCAGTAACCATGCGGCTTACAGAGGAATAAAAATCTCTCGGGTGGATTTTGCATTAATTTAGGAAAAAATTAACGACCAACAGACAATAAAAAAGCCTGCAATTTGCAGGCTTTTTAATCACTAAAATGTTTCTTATTTTAGTTTTGTTTCTTTATACATCACGTGTTTACGTACAACAGGATCAAATTTTTTGATTTCCATTTTGCCTGGCATGGTACGTTTGTTTTTAGTAGTGGTATAAAAATGGCCTGTACCAGCACTTGATTCTAATTTAATTTTTTCGCGCATGATTTTCTACCTTAAATTTTTTGCCCAGCTGCGCGCATCTCAGCAAGCACAGCATCAATGCCATTTTTGTCAATGGTGCGAAGCGCGTTGTTAGTAATGCGCATGCTCACCCAGCGGTTTTCGCTCTCAACCCAAAATTTACGGTTTTGTAAATTTGGTAAAAAACGACGTTTTGTTTTGTTTTGTGCGTGAGAAACATTGTTACCCACCATTGGCTTTTTGCCAGTTACTTGACATACACGTGCCATCATTATTCCTTAACGCTTACTTAAATTTATAGTGCTTTTTCAGAAAGACCGCAATTATAGTATAAACAACACATTTAACTCAAGCTAAATATGCGTTTTTATTGATGTTTAAGTGTTTAATGTTTACCAGTACTGCCAAATCCGCCTTCACCGCGGTCACTTGCATCAAAATCATCTACTACGTGAAACTCCGCCTGCACCACGGGCACAATGACTAATTGTGCGATACGCTCCATTGGGTTAAGCTCAAACGCTGCGCTGCCACGNTAACCTCTAGTTTTACCTTCGTATGACGAGCACCAGCATGCAAGTCCAATTTCTCTGTAACTCCTAATTTACCCTGAATATATTGATCAAAGTTGCTAGCAATGTTTTCCTCTCTGCGGTTTAAAACGCGAATGGGTAAACCTGCTCCTAGTACATTAGTATCTAGTCTATCATCTGTTGATTTGCCATAAGTTAGGCCAAGGCTAAGGTTGTAGGGCATTCCAGCCAAATTACCGTTATTATCCCAACGCGCATCGGCACCGTAAAAGTCACGGTCAATTTCGCTTAATCTAGCACAAGTGCCAGTAGGAGGATTTGTAAAGCACGAGCCAACAAGGCCAGTAGCTAGCGCTGTCGTGGTTAAAATTTGCGCATTTCTGCGTGTACCAACATATGGTGTTAAGGTGATTTTATTGTTTGCATTAAAAGCATGCTCTAAATTAAAACCAACTTGGGTATGGTTTCGTTCTACGCTAGTATTAGCAAATAATGCAGCAGGTACAACAGAGTCACGTGTACTGCTATTAAATGCAGTAGCCCGATTCAGGCCGATTGGGTCTTGTGCATCTTGCTCAAACCAATTCACTAACGCAGTTATTTTTGTATCATTGCTGATATTAAATTTAAATTTGGCAGTAGCCGCTTGTTTATCACTCTCGCTATTATCACGATAGCCATCAGTTTCAAAGTTAGATACATTTAAAAGGTACTCTACCCCGTCTGCTTGACCAGCAGCGTCCATGATTTGGCGTTTCGTATCGTAGCTTCCAAACATTACTGTGCCACCCATCTCAGGTGTTTTAGGAGCATCTTCACTAAACATTTGAATAACACCGCCAGATGAGTTGCCGTATAGGGCAGAAAATGGACCGCGCATCACTTCAATACTCTTGATGGCGGATAAATCAACCACGCCAGGTTGGCCTTGACCATCTGGCATCGTTAGTGGAATACCATCAACATACACTCTAATGCCACGTACGCCAAAAGCTGAACGTGAGCCAAAACCACGACTTGAAATTTGCGGGTCTTGGGCTGATTGTGTGCGGTTTTGTGCGGTAATGCCAGGAACGCGAATCAGGCTTTCCGAGAGTGTCATTTGTAATTGACCATCTTGAATGTCTTCTTTATCTACAACATCAATGGCAACTGGCAAGTCAAAACTATTTTGTTCGTTTTTGGTGGCAGTAATAACAACAGGCGCTAAATTAACTGCTTCTTCTGCATAGGCTTGTGGCGCAACAATAGCGGCGACCAATAAAAATAATGGTTTTCTTTTCATGATGGATGATTATTTATGTTTTGGAAAGGGTGAATAATATCTTGCCCAACGGGCTTGGGCAATCAAGAAAAGCATGATTTTTTCTGGCTAGTGCGCTGTAAATGCTATTGTTCAGTTCAACATGTTAGCAACATGTTGCAACAGTAACCTGGCAATCACTATTTTTGAAGCATTTTCAAATGGATGAGCACTATTTTTATCGAGTAAGGTCACTTGATTTTCATCGCTACCCATTGCGCTGGTGGCTAAGTTAGCCACAATTAAAGGTAGCTTTTTGGCCTTGCGTTTGGCTTCTGCGTATTCAAGCAAGTTTTCGCTCTCAGCCGCAAAACCCACACAAAATGGCGCATTGGGTAAGCTAGCCACATCGGCCAGAATATCTTTGTTTTTCTTAAGTTCTAGCGTAAGTGTTTGCTCACTTTTTTTAATTTTTTGTGCGCTTGTTTGCACTGGGCTGTAGTCTGCCACCGCCGCTACGCCGATAAAAATAGATTGGTTTGCCACATGCTGCATCACAGTGTGGTACATGCTCTCTGCGCTGGTGGCAAAAATGGTGTTGACCCCTAACGGTGGTTTTAGCGCAGTTGCGCCACTTACTAATGTCACTTCCGCGCCCATTTCAAACGCTGCTTGCGCAATGGCGTAACCCATTTTGCCTGAGCTTAAGTTAGTGATTGCTCTTACAGGGTCTATCATTTCTAGCGTAGCGCCAGCTGTAATTAAAATACGCTGACCTTTTAATGGCTTGGGGGATAAGTGAGCGTTTACTAATTCACATAAATCTTGTGCTTCTAACATGCGGCCTGGGCCAATTTCGCCACAAGCTTGTTCGCCACTGTCTGGCCCTAAAATGCTAATGCCATCTGCGAGTAATTGGGTCATGTTGCGTTGTGTTGCAGGGTTTTCCCACATTTGTTTATTCATTGCTGGCGCCACTAACAATGGGCACGGTTTTGTATTAGAACCACGCGCAAGGCAGAGTGTAGAAAGTAGATCATCAGCTCTACCATGCACAAGTTTAGCTAAAAAGTCGGCACTGGCGGGTGCAATTAAAATAGCATCCGCCTCACGGCTCAGCTCAATATGTGGCATGCCATTGGCAATGCTGTTATCCCACATGTTGAGAAACACAGGCTTGCCAGAAAGCGCTTGCATAGTAACAGGCGTAATAAACTGGCAGGCGGCTTCAGTCATCACCACTTGCACCTCAATATTGTTTTTTTGTAGCAGCCGCACCAACTCGGCCGCTTTATAAGCTGCAATGCCGCCAGTGATACCTAATACAATTTTTTTATTCGCCATGTGTGAAATGTCCTTTGTAGTGTTATTCTAAACTATTTCAACGACTTGCGTGGATAGGCTTAAAATGCGCTATCAAATTAAACGATAAAGAATCAACATGTGGAAAAAAATTAGAATTATCATTTTACTGCTGATACTCGCTACAGTAGCGCAACAAACTTGGTTAGAACAAGCAAAATTAGATTGGAAAGATAATTTTTATGTAGCTGTGTATCCAATCAATGCGGATGGTTCAGAGAAAGTGGGTGCATACTTACGCACGCTAGCGAGAGATGATTTTGAGCCAATGGCAGAATATTTTGCGCAAGAAGCCGCGCCATACCACTTAGGTTTACGCAGGCCAATAGAAGTTCAGCTTGGCGCGCAAGTCAGTGAAGTTCCACCAGCCCCACCAAAAAATGGCAGCATTTTGAGTAATATTATTTGGAGCTTAAAGTTTAGGCTTTTTGCATGGCGCAATAGCCCTAAGGTAAATGTGCGACCAGCCATTCGGCTATATTTGTTATACCATGACCCTGAAAATCACAAGCTACTGAGCCACTCTACTGCCCTCAATAAAGGCCGTATTGGCCGTGTCAATTTATTTGGCAGTAACGCTTATGCCAAACAAAACTTGGTGATTTTGGCGCACGAGTTATTGCATACGCTTAACGCAACGGATAAATATGATTTATCTACGACTTTGCCGTTTTACCCAGATGGGTTTGCTGAGCCAAATAAAATGCCACCTTACCCACAAACGCTAGCCGAGTTAATGGGTGGACGCGTGCCAATAAGCGAAACGCAAGCAGATATTCCAAAAAGCCTAAAACAAACCATGATAGGTGAAAAAACTGCGCGAGAAATTGGTTGGTTAAAATGATTAAAGTCAGGCTTTTTAAAGTGCTCGACAAAAAATTATGCCTCTGGAAGCCAGTATCCATGCGGCTTGCAGAGGTGCTAAAAGAAGATGTGCTTTTTTTCGCTTAATATTCGTGTTTTAAATAGGAAAGTAAAATGGCAATAACCGATTGGCCAGCAAGTGAACGTCCACGAGAAAAACTCATTGAATTAGGCGCGCAGGCACTATCAGATGCTGAACTACTTGCCATTTTTTTACGTGTGGGTGTGGTGGGCAAAAGTGCGGTAGATTTAGCGCGCGATTTGCTCAACCAATTTGGTAGCCTCAATGGCATTTTTGCGGCCTCTGAGAGTGAGTTAAGCCAAGTGCATGGCATCGGCAGCAGCAAATACGTGCAGTTACAAGCTATTTTTGAAATGAGCCGTCGTGCGCTAAGTGAGCACTTACAGCAAGCTGATTTATTACAATCACCCAAGCAAGTGTGTGAGTATTTAGTGCTTAAATTAGGTAATCTCAAGCAAGAAGTGTTTTTAGTGTTGTTTTTGGATACGCAAAACCGCTTGATTACCAGCGAAGCGTTGTTTAGTGGCACGCTCACGCAAACCAGCGTTTACCCGCGTGAGGTCGTTAAGCGCGCGCTTTATCATAATGCGGCAAGTGTGATTTTTGCGCATAATCATCCATCTGGCATTGCGCAACAAAGTGCCGCAGATGAGCAAATAACCCAGCATCTTAAAACAGCTCTTGCCTTAGTGGATGTACAAGTGTTAGACCATGTGATTGTGGCAGGTAACCAAACCTTGTCGTTTAAAGCGAGCGGTTTGATGTAAACTATTCGCCAATTATTGGATAATTTAAGCTAATCAATATGCATAAAAATTTTAAAATGATTCTTTGGATTGCGGTAGCCTTGCTCGGTGCATTTGCGCTTGCAGGCATTGCCTTAAATCGGGGTGAACAAATCAATGCATTATGGATGATTACAGCTGCAGTGTGCGTGTATGCCATCGCTTACCGTTTTTATTCAGCGTGGATTGCCGCCAAAGTATTGGTGATAGATGAAACACGCGCCACGCCTGCAGAACGTTTAGACAATGGCCGTGATTTTATCCCAACCAATAAATGGGTAGTGTTTGGCCATCATTTTGCCGCAATCGCAGGGCCTGGGCCGTTGGTCGGCCCAACCTTGGCCGCACAATTTGGCTATCTGCCTGGCACCTTGTGGATTTTAATTGGCGCGGTCTTAGGCGGTGCTGTGCAAGACATGGTGACGCTGTTTTTCTCTACTCGCCGCAATGGGCGCAGTTTGGGGCAAATGGCGCGCGATGAAATTGGTACAGTGGGCGGCACAGCAGCCTTAATCGGCACTTTTATGATTATGATTATTCTCATAGCTGTACTAGGCTTGGTAGTAGTCAACGCCATGAAGCATAGCCCGTGGGCAACATCTACCGTGGCTGCCACTATTCCTATTGCCATGATAGTGGGCGTTTACATGCGTAATATTCGCCCTGGGCGTGTACTAG